GTGAAATAACACCCTAGTACAGCAGCAGGTGGCTTGAGATACAAGTCTTATGACCTGGCAGCACCTGGCTTGAGATACAGATTAGGTCCTTAGAGTAGCTCCCCAGGGACACCAAACTGGAAGTATGAAGAGCGTCTACTCGAAAAATGCCAATTTGGAAGTAATACAAGAAACAAATTAGAAGTAATGTAATAAGTGATGAGAGGTGGAAGTTAGTTGGTAGACGTTGTACAGTAGTATATAAATGGGATATATATGATAAAATAGATTTGGGATAAGGAGGTAAAATCCCATATAGCAGATCACACATAGATACTAAGTTAATAACCAGGTGAGTCTTATCTGTAATAAATTAGATAGTTGTAAATGTATATATATATATTTGTAATTGCAATACCTTAGAGTACTAATAAACAGTTAAAACAAGACTGCCAAATTAAAAAAAAAAAAATTTAAACTTTTTTTATTAGTGAAAAATATTAGTTTGTCATTTTAATTTACAACCATTTTACAACAATCTATCTTTTTTTTTTTTATTCCTAACTTTGCAAAATTTGCAATTAATAGAGTAATTTTAGATCTTCACTCTCGATGTCAACAAATTACTATTTTACTTCTTATATAATACTAAAAGTGTTTTCATAGAAAATAAAAAATATAAAAAAATTGTAAATGCTTATTATCTCTTAGTCTTTACTCACATGAGATTTTTTTCAATTAAATCACCTTTTGAGATTGTCTGATCGGGCTAATTTGGAAAATTTTAAGCCAGAGTACTCGTGCTTAATTATCATTTACTTTTATTGATACAATAGTTTATTAAATAGAATATCATATCAATAAAGGTAGAAAATAATTTACATATAATAAGTATCAGTACTCTGGCCTAAGCTTTTCTGATTAGAAAATCTCGAAGGGTGATTTTGTTACCATATAACAACAATTAAACTATAATTTCGTATAACACAATATCTGTTACATGTTCTCTTTCTTTATTTTTTAGTTTGTGATTTTTAATAGTGGTATTTATAAATAGATCTTCTCAAGTATCAATTATAATCCTGATTATAGTGTTTGTAGTCGATTTTGATTAGTCGATTTTTATCAACTTAGCTGGCTTAGCTGATTTATTATTAGGTTATATAAAAACTATAATAGCCAATAAAAATCCATTAAAATAACCCCAATTTATTATATTAATAATAATTAACAAAATTGTGTATATACTATATATAGATTGTAATAGAATTCTAAAATGTGCCCAAGTCGTTAAAGAATTCCAATTCAAATTACAACAAAATTATGTATACTCCAAATTATTTCATCGAGTATGTCATTTTGGAATTTAAATTTACAATAATTTTGTTCAAACATATGACATACATATTAGATATAAAAAGCTTGCTTATGTAACGTAGAATATTAATATAACATAATTGAATGTATGTAGATTTTTGCAAGTTTTCGTATCTAGCAAAAACATGCGAATATATACGTATATACTATGTCATTAAAAAAGAATATATGAAGAATGATCATTTTCAAGATTGGAATAAAGTTTAGAATTTATATATTTAATTGCCTAAAATTCTTATAATAGTTAAATTGTTATACAAGTGATTCCAAAATTCCTGAGTAGTCTTCAGAAACTACACACTAAATTTCACAAAAAATGTACATGCTGCAAATAATCCCAAAATAATAGTTTTTTGTTATAGCTAATTGAAACAAAAAAAAAAAACCAAAATCTAACTTTTAGACAAAAAAAAAATATTTAAATGCAATAACCCCATGCTAATAACTGGTGGCAACAATAAAAAGTCGCTATTTCAAAAAAATTTTAGTTAGTTGCAGCTTTTTTTAATAAATGAATACCTTATATTCACAACACCAATTCTATTAAGGACGTTCTCAAGCACTACATCAATAAACTTAACAAATAGCTTATTGGATTCTTTATAGAATTCATTGAAGTAGATGCTTGTAAACGCCTAATATAACAATATACAACATTGAGCATTATATTAGTATTACCAATCTCTGCTGATTTTATGAAATAAATCAATACTTTACCCTTATTTTTATAATGCCAAAACAACTAAATCATGATTTCAATGCAAACTACGAGTATTATTGTGCTTTGCAAAAAGATGTGAACACTGCAGATCATTTTTTCATGTAAGAATCAGAGATTTTATAGATTTTTTGAGATTTTAAAAATTAAACTGATTTCAAAGAAATATAAACGTAACTAATTGAAAATGTAAAGTAACAGACAATCTGGAATCTTAGTAATTCTCAGCCATTATCATCACTAAAATTACATGTTCACATCTTTTTGCAAAGCGCTATAATAAAGTTCGGGCATGAGAATCTTGAATATGCCCAAAAGAATATCTGATTTTTAGGAAACATGATTCTCAAATTAAAAAAAAATCGAGAATTCTATGCCCCAAAACCCTCAGTATAATATGATGATAGTTAATATTTGGATAATCTAAAAAAAAAAGATATAATAAGCCAAAAATTTGGCATTAATACTTATACTATTAAATATTAGAATCTGTCTCTAACAAAGATATCTAACGATCAATTGTCTGAAGAGGCTGCTGATGAAAGTAATATGTCATTTAAATATGAAGGAATCTGTAATTTTGAATATAATTTTGATGAAAATATTATGGAGAATGAAAATGCTTTTAGTAACGAAAATGATACTGAAGAGGAGGAAAATACAGTTAATTTTTTATCTATAATATCTTACTTTCCCTCACAAGAAACTTCAACAAAAAAAACTCTTAAACCAAATGCAATACAAAAAAAAAAAAAAATAGGCCTACTGATAGTTGGGTATGAAAATATACTTGCCGAGATAAATTAACCAAGGTTAAATATTGTAAGGTCTGTATAGATCATGAAGATGTTACTTCTGAATGGTATAAGGCAATATTTATACCAACAATATCAACATCTAATATAGCCACGCATTTGCATACAGAGCATAGAATTTTTAAGAACCAAAAGTGGGATGCACCTTCAACATTAACTGGAAATCCTGCATCAACAAATCAACCAACAATTGAAAAAATCATACAAAAACAAATATAGTGCAGGAAATCTATACTCAACGGTTATATGAAGTGTTTCAATTTTTTAAATGGTTATAACTTTTTATCTAAGGGGT